GGACTGATTGAAAACAAAAAAGATAAATTAGGATCAAATTGAAACATTTTGTGACAAAAATGCGAGAAAAGTAACTTGTATGTCCGTAGCAGGAACATCAAGAAAACGTTGTGGTTTTGAAGCGCGCAGGCGTATCGTAAATACGAATTCATGAGACCAGGTTCAAGAATGTTTATCCCCAAAAGGGGCAACTTGTTAGGAGTATGTTCTTGTAAATTTGTCATAGTCCAAGAGAAACAAGCTGCTGTTTTATCTCAAGGTTCAAAGGAAATATTTGTATTTATTCCACGATACAAACAAAAGCACCACATACGGCTCATTATACGTGTGTCGACAAACTATCGCAAAGCTATCAATTGCAGGACCTACAGTAGCTTTAACTTTGACCTTCATTTGTGACCTTGGAGATGGGGTGATGGAAAGTATTTGTGATGCTTTGTCTCATGATGATGCTTATGTGAATGAAGTTTCATTCAATTATCTTGAGCCAATCAGAAGTTATGGTCTGTACAAGAGAAAGTCTACAGGCGGAATCTATACATTCAGACCTCCACCTTTCAATGGACGATTGATATTTTTTTTGTATTTTGATCAGACCATTTTAAATAGGTATTATGAGTTGAAACTGGATGGCAGTATGTTGAATCATTATGGATTCCTTTTATGATCCTGAAGTTCACACAGATGCTCAGTGGGCCGACACTATGAACACAAAGCTGACCTTTGACCTCAGGCTGTAAAAGCTCAACAGTCATGGAGAGATATTATTTTTAACACAGATGTGTTATTTGGGGGAAAAAAGCTCCTTCGAGACTGATTTGAACTAGCGTCCTAAGGATATCTGTCCTTGACGTCTACAGTCCTCTGCTCTACCAACTGAGCAATCGAAGGGACAGTCAATGGATTGTCAGGGAACACTCAGGGGACACCCAGCGGACGTACACAGAGACAGGGCAAACGTCTGGAGGAGTGCCTGATGTTATGTGGATCTCAAACCCTTTTAGATTTAGCGCCAGTCAGCAAGTGAGAGAAATGTGTGACAAATTATGGTTTAGCAACATATCAAGCTAAACTGGGACTGATTGAAAACAAAAATGATAAATTGGGATCAAATTGAAACATTCTGTGACCAAAATGCGAGAAAAGTAACTTGTATGTCCGTAGCAGGAACATCAAGAAAACGTTGTGGTTTTGAAGCGGGCAGGCGTATCGTAAATACGAATTCATGAGGCCAGGTTTAAGAATGTTTATCCCCAAAAGGGGCAACTTGTTAGGAGTATGTTCTTGTAAATTTGTCATAGTCCAAGAGAAACAAGCTGCTGTTTTATCTCAAGGTTCAAAGGAAATATTTGTATTTATTCCACGATACAAACAAAAGCACCACATAAGGCTCATTATACGTGTGTCGACAAACTATCGCAAAGCTATCAATTGCAGGACTTACAGTAGCTATAAATTTGACCTTCATTTGTGACCTTGGAGATGGGGTGATGGAAAGTATTTGTGATGCTTTGTCTCATGATGATGCTTCATTCAATTATCTTGAGCTGCTCTGTGGGCCGACAATAGGAACACAAAGCTGACCTTTGACCCCAGGCTGTATGGAGAGTTCATTTGTTTTCAACAGAACTTTGTTGAGTTGAGTAAAAGCTCCTTCGAGCCGGATTTGAACCAGCGACCTAAGGATCTCAGTCCTTCACCTCTACAGTCCTCCGCTCTACCAACTGAGCTATCTAAGGGATGGTGACACTGTAGCCAGGGGACGTCCACATACAGAGACAAAGGGTTAATGGGCAGCGGAGCGGTGGATGTGAGGATCTCAAACCCTTATAGATTTAGCATCAATCAGAAAGTGAGAGAAATTTGTGACAACTTTGGGTTCAGCAACATATCAGGCTAAACTGGGACTGATTGAAAACAAAAAAGTATAAATTGGGATCAAATTGAGACATTTTGTGACTAAATTGGTAGAAAAAGCACTTGTATGTCCGTAGCAGGAACATCAAGAAAACGTTGTGGTTTTGAAGCGCGCAGGCCTATCGTTAATACGAATTCATGAGGCCAGGTTCAAGAATGTTTATCCCCAAAAGGGGCAACTTGTTAGGAGTATGTTCTTGTACATTTGTCATATTCCAAGAGAAACAAGCTGCTGTTTTATCTCAAGGTTCAAAGGAAATATTTGTATTTATTCCACGATACAAACAAAAGCACCACATACTTTTTATACGTGCGTCGACAAACTATCGCAAAGCTATCAATTGCAGGACCTACAGTAGCTTTAACTTTGACCTTCATTTGTGACCTTGGAGATGGGGTGATGGAAAGTATTTGTGATGCTTTGTCTCATGATGATGCTTATGTGAATGAAGCTTCATTCAATTATCTTGAGCTGCTCTGTGGGCCGACACATTATACGCCTCCACAATCTATCGTACAGCTATCAATCGCAAGACCTAGACACTTTGAGTAAACATCAATAAACATTTAGACGTAGCATAAAGTCGCTCCGTCACATTTAACATCTATAAAATCCACCCTGTTTTCATCACGCCTCCCCTCTTTGTATAGGACGACGCCTGTGACCCGACTGGGCCAGAACCCGAGAAGTGAGTTAAACATACACTTTAGTAAATTTTTTTTGTTGAGCCGATGTCAGAGTAATGAGTTGTCCTGGCAGCGTTCAGACAGAATAGGTGGAGCTGACCAGTGAGATCGTCAACAGAGACAGCGAACGGGTCGGGCCGGACTGTTTCGATCTTCTGACTGTTTTGGGTAAAGGAGCGTACGGAAAGGTGAGTGTGTGACCGAGCACACTGGTTAATAACTGACCGCCATTTTGCTTTTTAGTGACATTTGCACCCTCCTTTGTTCTCCAGATTTCTCAGAAATGTGAAAGTGGTCAGTGCTGTAGACTTTCTGCAGGCTTTCAAATAAATTTTTAAAACTCCACACAGTTTCAATGACCGTATTCAGCATTATTTGACTGAACTTTAACAGTCTGAGGATTTGAAAATGACCAGACAGTTCATGAAAACTACTTGGTGTATCCTGAATAGAGCAGTGTGTTCTGAAAAATTGACACAAGCTGAAAAAGAAGTGTTAAAATAAGAAGCTTCAGGTCTAACCGAGCACACGAACAGCCTCTGAACGTCATGCAGTGGTGGAGTTTCCAAGGCCAAGATAAAACTGTCTTCTGGGATGATTTATAAAAGAAAGAACAAATAATAATGCAGTTGCAGCTCACAAGTTCAGCAGAGTGAACTTTGCTGAATAATTTTCTTTAAAGAATAAGTAAAATGCAAATCACAGAGTATAAATCTACACGGGGCTCTTGTTTGGACGTATTGGACCCACGAGCCAATCAGGTTCCTGGATGTTTTTCCCCCAAGTTTGCTTGATTAGAAGTTACAACAAAAGGTCTAAATAAAACATTCTTATTTGCAAGTAATCTAAATACATTTGGGTTCAGAAGCATAAGTTCTTTACAATCACTCGTAACATAAAAAAAAGCACAAGTATGAACGTTCGTCCGCATAATATCCATCACTGGCCGCCTTCATGACGCATTTTAAAACAAATGTCGCAGGATGTGTTGGCTCAGAGTATGTGTTCAGTGCGACTCTCAGCTACTACCACACCTGAAGAAATGGGAACAAATAGTGTTTTTGTCACCGGCTGCTGGTAACAAAGAACCTAAATATATATTTTGTCTGAAAATACAAGAAAACAAACTGAGTGATGAAGCTGCCAAAATAAAATAAAAACCTTCATAAAGTCTGTCGAGCTGTGGATCACTAAAAGATTACAGGAAGTCTGACTGATTTAAAAGAAAATCAACACAATTAGGACCAAATCAAGACTTTGGACTTTTTTATTGTTTATAAGGTGTTCCAGGTGAGGAAGGTCCAAGGAGCCCAAGCAGGAAAAATATTTGCTATGAAGGTTCTGAAAAAGGTACTGACTGGCTGCACTCCATCCTGTCCTCCTTCCACTTGTTTACTTTCCTCCCCCATCTTTGTTTCTCCCTCTTTAAACACCCGACCTGCTGCCGTATTTGTCTCTTACAGGCTAAAATCGTGTGTAACGCTAAAGACACGGCGCACACCCGAGCAGAGCGGGAGATCCTGGAGAAAGTGAGACACCCATTCATCGTGGACCTGCTGTACGCCTTCCAGACCGGAGGAAAGCTCTACCTCATCCTGGAGTGTCTGAGCGGTGAGACGGGAACGATGGACGACATGAACTGGCTCAGGGAGACGGGGTTTTGTTAGGAAGAGAGAACAAAAAATAGAAAAAGTTCATTTACTTTGATGGAAAAAATTAAAAGTGAATTGGATAAAAGTAGGAGTTTTAATTTCAGGTGAAATATTTTAATCAAAATGAGCAGAAAGACGGACAAAAAAAACAGAAGGAAAAATTATAAAGAAACAAAACACAAATTGACCAAAAACAAGCACAAGGAGATAAAAATAACAGAAACAGACAAAATGGTTACACAAAAAGACAAAAAAGATGCACACGGACAAAAAGGATGCAGAAAAAGACAAAAAGGACACACAAAATGACCACAAGGAAACACAAAATGACCACCAGGAAACACAAAATGACCACCAGGAAACACAAAATGACCAACAGGACACGCAAAATGACCACCAAGAAACACAAAATGACCAACAGGACACGCAAAATGACCACCAGGACACACAAAATGACAAACAGGACACACAAAATGACCACCAGGACACACAAAATGACCACCAGGACACGCAAAATGACCACCAGGACACGCAAAATGACCAACAGGACACGCAAAATGACCAACAGGACACACAAAATGACCACCAGGAAACACAAAATGACCAACAGGACACACAAAATGACCACCAGGACACACAAAATGACCACCAGGACACGCAAAATGACCAACAGGACACGCAAAGTGACCACCAGGACACACAATTTGACCAACAGGACACACAAAATGACCACCAGGACACGCAAAATGACAAAAAGGACACAACACACAAAATGACCACCACGACACACAAAATGACCAACAGGACACGCAAAATGACCACCAGGACACACAAAATGACCAACAGGACACGCAAAATGACCAACAGGACACACAAAATGACCAACAGGACACACAAAATGACCAACAGGACACACAAAATGACCACCAGGACACACAAAATG